TGTACAGTTGTCGTTTAACCGGTCTTGGGAAAATAAAGTTTTGTTAATGTTTTGTGTCAGAAAAGGAACCCATGACGTTCGTTTTTCACATTCTTTAAACCTACATAAGAAAGTCGTCTGTGAAGAGCTTCTAAGTGATATATAACTAAGCTAAGACAGCCAGCCAAAATAGAACATTTACATTATGCTGCTTAATTATCTGCTTTTATTTAATATAAGAAAGAGAACAGTCAATTCTTTAGCTGTAGAAAGTGACAAAATTAAATGTCGTGTGATCAGGCCGGAGTTTCCGCAGGTCCAAACACTAGATATGAGGGTGATTCTGTAATTGTCTGCTGATATCTTCCACAGCTCCTTTCCATGTAACTTAGACATTTACAGGTTCAGTACGTATATATAGTATTTCTAATAAAACCAATTTGATGCGAACAACTTAATATGAAAGTTTTATAAACCACAGTACAACAAATCTAATCACTTCGAAGTTCGCTCGCAATTGACAAAATCTTATTGAATGGATCTTTACGACATTGCTTGTCGACAGTTTTCTGCGCGATAGCACTCAGTACCTGATAAAGTGCTACGATTCTGACGTCGACTGGTGACTAGGGATTACCTGAAAAAGAAATGAACACCTCACTTCTCTTTTACGTCTTTCATAAATCAGCTAACCCAAAATGTTGCACTAGTAAATATTTGTTTGAGAATCATGACAGGAAAACTGTTTTTGGTTTTGTAATTATTTTTTGTTTAAAGTGCAAGGGAGGAAATGTATTTATGGATACACATAAAAAAATCATCTGTTTTATGTAGATTTTTATAACAATAAATGTTGTTGTATTTTGATCTTCAAAATCTTTCAAAAGCTGAGGATATATGCTGGCAGCTGTAAATAGACATGTTATGGTGGAATATTGCAACAATGTAAAAGTAAATGGCTCGAGCAGTAACAAAGAATATTTGGTTGTTAACTAACCCAAACCTTCTGGGATAGTCCACTGTTTGATTTTACGTTAGCTTGCAGTCCTGCTCTGACCTGTCTATTTCTTCCTAGTCTCGACTGTCCGACTTAAGTTTGATATCTATGAAATTGTTCTTCTTGTGAAACAATATTTTTATTCTTAGCGCCTCACTAAGCAAACAAAATCATTCATTGACTCAGTACCTGGTGGTGTCACTAGCGTGTAAGGTTATAGAGCTTCACTCTAACCTGAGAAAAAGCCAACGTGCTCAATCCACTATGGACATTGCCTGCAAGTACTCTAATATGTTATGAAGACATTTAAAACCCACGATATCAGCATTTATTTTTAATCTTCTCCGTCCCACGCAATACTTATCAACCATCCCCTTCTATCTTGATCATAGCACCGCTATATAAATCTCCTACATGCTAGGAGCGTTGCCCTTTACAAATAGATCATTAATAATCGAGTATTTTAATCACGATTTTTAGAACCTTGAAGATCATTAATGTCACTGCCATGCCAACAGAGCAAGTGATTTCAAGTAATGTCTTTTTATCTCGTTTCGTTAGCTGACATTAGTTTGATTCATTTATTCTGATGACATGATAAATAAACCATAATATGATGTGGTGAAATTTATGACAGAATGTCAATGGTGTTGAAATCATAAAACGTCTTCTGATTAGACAAAGAAATTTTCCATGTTTACCTCAACATATCTTATATAGGTAATATATTCGCAAAACAATAGTGTTTTCTCTCTATGAGCCGATTGAGTATCCTGGTTTTCATCGAATATGTTAACATCGTCTTGTCTTCTTTTTTTATTGACTTTTGCAACACTTCTAAGTAGATACAAAATTTTAATGGACTCTTTCAAAAATAAGTGGGCTCATGGGGTCGTTGTGGTAATATGGTCTTCAACATAAGGATTACTTCATGTACTTTTTTCTCGTGCATAAAGGGACAATTTTTTTAAACATTTCTGTGCGCCTTGTATAAATTGGTTTTAAAAAAGAACATGAAATTTCATATGGCGTAACACATTTGCGAGTTCTATCAGTGCTAAAGATCCATGACTTACCATAAGTTTTTCAATGACACTTCTAGTGTTCTGTTTAATTGCTATTGTATGAAACAGTGTCGTTTTATTACAGTTCTTAATGTGGATGGAAAAGGGTAGAATTTTGAAAGCATTATCCGCTAACATTTTAATCAACATGAAACAAGCAGGTTGCTTTTTTATTATACCAAATTTAATTCGGTGTTGTCATTTGACAGTCTCAACCATTTCAGTGTTCCAATGTGTATCTATTTAATTCTGGTCGGGTTACACAATCCAATTAAAAAGGCTTATTACTTAAGGAAATTTCAAATGCTCTTATCCAATACAATAGTGATAAATGCAATCTGTAACACTTGATCTGTTTTAGTTGATGAAAAACAAAAGAGTTCATAAAATAGCCGAAAATGCTGATATCAGCAATCTTCTTGCGGAAAGGGCTACCAAAAGTTATCATACTTTCCCAATACTTACAATATGCAGTATTTCATTGCCTGATAGAAGAACTGACTTAGTTATACATTCGATGATAAAGACAACTGGAGATATACGTCATAAAGACACTTTATGTCGGAGCGTTTATATTTGAAGTTACTGTCTCATTTTGAAATTAATCTATGTTTTACTTTCATTCGCTGTAAAAAAGTAAACACATTATCTACCATGGTGCGATGGTTTGACGATCGTTATGGAAGTTATATTTTGAAACAATACAAAACAGTGTACAGGAAATTGAAAGCTTGATGCAGCAGTAACAACAACACTGTTCATTATTTCCAGATTTCGTTTCTTCAAGAGCAAGCAGTACAATCCTGTTACATATGAAGATATCAACAGTTGTGTTATGTGACCGTTTTATACGTCTATGTATATGTCTTGGTTATGATTTACACGCAAACCTCAGATCATTTTTCGTTTGAAAATATCATTTTGAGCCGAGAACAAACTTTATTTACTCCAAACTCCATATGATTGTACTAGACATACAAGTGAATAGGATTATTTAATACAAACTATTTAGATACGATTTAGCAGTGCCAACCAATGCAGAAAATTGCAACATATGTTCTTCCTTCTAGGGTTTGTCATTGATGGCGTAAATGTTAGAGACAGCAGATTGGGTAAAATCCACAGTGAGTTCAAAAAACTGTCTAAGTCTAGTTAGGGAGAGGTACTTACCCCAAAATTATGATTTTTTTTTTACATATCTCATAAGTAATGAAGCAAAATACTTAGATAGTTTCCTCTGGGAAATTTACCTTTTCAAATACCAATTACAGAAATAGAAATATTATGCTACCAGTAACTTCATGTCAACGAACAAAATATTAGTGTTGTTTTTATTAATAGAGGATTAGATACTGTAAAAATGAAGAGTCATCTCTCCTTGAAGCGTGCTGTGTAGAATTCTTACAAGGAGGTTTATCACTTCATCATCCAATTTATGGATGTCTTAATGATCTCATTGGAGAAAACAGTGTATTTCCTTCTGCTGTGTGAGGTCGGACATGCTTAGTGCTCATTGCCTGGTGAATCCGTTTATTTACCATTGGCCAATATTTACAGGGTTGGTGTCGCCGATATGGCGGAAGGCGCTTGGTCTTCTTAAGGGCCTAGTCTTATTCTAGTTTTTTTTTTTTTTTTTTTTTGTTTTTTTTTTTTGTGGGGGGGGGGGTCATAAAAATTCTGTTCATATCTTAGTTTCGTCAAAATTGGTTTGCCGTGTCGATTTTCAAAAATTGGATCTTTCTTACCTTAATTCTTCTTAATTACTTTACTATATTTTAAATACCCTGCTAATTAACAAAGATCCATTAAAATAGTTGAAAATGTGATTAAATGCTCTCTGCTTGCCGTTTGTTATTGTATATTGGTAGTAATAATCACTGGTGGTCCTGGTATCAAAATAATGTGTCTCTAGTTTGGATTTCTCGAGGTATCGTGCCAGAAAGCAGACTTACAAGTGTAATAGTAATTCAAACTCGCTCCATTAGCCCTGTAATTGCGAATATCTTGTTTAATCGTAGTTGATAAAATTACGAAAAATGGACCAAACTAATCCATGCCATTCTAAAACAAATGTAACGGTATTTTGCATGCAAATGTTTTCGAAAAAGAGAACAAATCATGGAATGAGTTTATGTTTCACAAGACATACATTGACCTACTTTTTAAACAGTTTCATGATTTTTAGGGGCTACATTCGAAATATGGGTTTACTTCAATAAAAGTTCAGTGATTATGCAACATATGGAGAAAACATACCTCTTTTTAGACTAACAACACTTTTACTTTGAGTTTGACTCAAGCTCTGGAGTATTTTTTTCATGAAGCAATTGTGGTACCTGAAATGAGGCATAAAGTATCTGGCTAATACGTTTTATCGTCCCAAGATAGGTGACGTGGCAGGACTAAGTCTACACTCTCGTCAGATTCAGGACACTCTCACATTTAATCCAATATCAGAAAGCCTGATTGTAGACCATGTGACTAGGTTTTCAGAAAATAGAATTAAATCAAGCACTATGCCACGCCCTCACCAGACACCGACGCACGCTCCTGAGTTGTACACGTAAAAGTATGTTAAGCTTGCATTGAATTACATAAAAAAAAAATATCGCCAAGGGAGATAATGAAAAATATTTCTAAATTGATTGTTATCAAGTATTGTCTATAATACACATACGGGAATCGGAATATATTGTAGATTAAACTTCAGAAAAAAATAATCAGAAACTGTTGTGTAAGATTAACGATGCAGAGTTTTAAACCTCTTCTAGCTATATCCTTGGGACTCCCTTAATGGTCAGAATAGGTCATGTGAATGATGTCTTGATTGTTTCGATTCGTTTAACATCTTTTTATCATTGAACTAGTAATGCCTTCCATTCATTGCTTACTAACGAGCTAAAGTTTGCATATATATCAATGTCTGCTTATTCAAATATTTTTTGTTTTGTCTTTTACAGTTTGTGAGCATTTAAAGAAGATGGTATTTGCCTTAGTTTGTATGAGTGATGTACATTCTTATGACGTCATACAAGCCTACAGCCAAGGCTTAGAAGTGCCTATAATCGTGCCTTCCTCGCCTAAATCCTATAGCACAGATCGATTCAAATTCGAAATAAAGATGAATCCTTCCATCATTCCGGCAATGGCCGAATACATCCGCCATGGTGGATGGACCAAAGTCTTTTATCTCTTTAATTCGGATGACGGTAAGTATTGCATTCTTTTATCAATTATATGAGGAAGAATCGTTCTTATTTGCGACAAGATTTGTACCGGTATTGTTATTCAGCTCATATCAAGAGATATCAACATCATGGTGAAGGCATGCTCTCTACAAGAAATAAGTGATAAAATAGTAATTAAAAATTATATTGGCAAGAATTAGCCATGGAATTTTCATGACCATGCTTCTTTCGTTATTGTGTCTTCAACTTGGATATTATTCCTAAAAAGCACAAACCTAATCATGGGAGCAATCGAACTAAAAGGTAAAGAATTGTATGTCACGTAAAACTAAAATAAAGGAAAACATTGTATTTCTACTTAATGGCCTTAACTCTAAAACACATTCATATAATAGATTCCCAACATTTAACATTTAACATCGTTTGAGTTTATGAGCACTCTTTATGTTGCTGAATCGATTTTTTGAACATAGAAAATGAAAATGTCTTAGGATTTTGAAAATAGGACTTTTTTTTCAAATGTCATTTGATAAAATGAAATAGCAATTTCTCTTTTAGTGCTTAAACATTGTATTACTAAAACAGATAAACAACAAATGTTGATTAAAGTTCGAATGTTTTGGCATTTATTTCGATTGCAAAAGAGTCATGATCGAGTCAATCGCTCTTCCTTTAAAATGCATTGCATATGTTATATTTATTGTACTTCAGTGTACGAAGTAAAGCGATACAGTTTTTGTATGACATGAAATAGTCGGTAGTATTTTCTTTCGTGGTTTGAACCTAAGACATGTTATAAAGACCCATTAATCTGTTGACGCCGTCAACATATACCCTGGGTGTCACTACCTCCAAATTACCAATAAAAAATATACTCTGTGTATAATCGATACTTTACCCATGATCATTTTATCTTAAACCTTTTTCGTGCGTTTCATGTTCGTTTTTCACTAGAGTCACGAAAACAACGAATATTTCATGATATACAATACTGAAGATATTGTAGTTACTACGTCGATCAAGAATGATACATTTTGCCATAAGTCAGGGACCATCAGATTCAGTATGAAAATATTAGTAAAGATAAGCAATAATATGCCTTATCGTACTCCATGCAGTGTCCGCTTTTGAGATTGGTGACACCAAGCGAGGCATCCAACTTGACGATTAAACTGGGATACTTCAACAAAACACAAGCTTGCTATGCCACCTAAAGCAGCGTTTGCTCCGTGGTCATACTGTATTTACAAATGACACGTCAAAAATTGAAAAATGCAGAAAGATGGCAAGCTTCTATAATGGCTCAAATTGATATGACATACATGCAAATAGCTGCATGTGTTAGTATCTGGCATTGTGTTATATCTCGGTTAATGCAGCGTCTGGACAAATCCGTCTGACTGACCTCGAAAATCTACAGATAGAGAAGACAGACTTCTATGTAGACAGGCAAGGAGAACCCAATTTACCACTGTTGACAGATGTTGGAACAATATGCGACTTCGCTCTCGCCGACTAGTAGACCTTATTTGGTGACTCAAACAATTAAGATTACACTGGGCACGCGATCAACAGACATTGAAATAAGGTCTTGACGAAGAGTTCACTTGTCTGATGAAAGTCACTCCCTACTTGTAGAGACCAAGAAATACGTCCTTGATGGAGCTTTAAATGGAAAGAGAAGCCCTGATCCTTCAACCTCTAGTTGTTCCGAATTTCGATGCCCATCCATTAGCAGCTCGACCCGGTTTTTACAGATAAAAATGCCAAACTTCTCAGAGCCCGCTTAGTAATAGACTATCTTCAACATGAAGAAACTCTTCTATGGCCTGTATTGTCACTAGATATGAACCCAATGGAACATTTGTTGGACTATTTCGGACACAAAGTTAATTCAGGGGATCCACAATGTCAAACAATTGGAGAATTACGGGCTGCATTGATTCAGGAGTGACAGAGGTGTACTACGAACAAGCTTCGGCGAGTGGTCAATAGTCTCACACGAAGGACACAAGAATTTTACCAGAAGCGTGGTAGCTATAACCGATATTGATATTTTTATACACAATGGAGCTTGTTCATTAGTTAATCGTCTAGAACGAGTAACATGTTTAGTGATTTCACGTATCTCCTAATAGAAGCTAAAATCTAAACATTTTTTTCTGGACGTTGGGAATGAGTACATCTTTTAAAGATGATACCGCAATTAAACTTTTGAAAATAGTTTCCTTTTCTATAGACGGCGTATAATTTCTGTTGAGCTGTAATTGAATATTTTGATTAAATTCTGCAAACAAAATACTGCCTGATCTGAAATATTAGCAGTCCCTTACTTATGGCCAAATGTGTATTGTATTGATATACATAAAAGATAAACATATCTAACATCTTTATAATATAAGCAAGATGAAAACACAATTTAAATGAGACCTAAGTTTTGTGGCAATGCGTGTTGTGTATTGATAGTAGCGTAGTAGAAACCTCTAAGTGTCTTTGTATATCCCATACTAAAACAAGCATGTGCTAACCAAACCATTTTTTCTTGAAACTTCCCTACGATATATAAAGGCAATAGTATGTATAGTTTTATCATCTTCGTTTCTTTTTTGTTTTCTCTTGCTTGACAAGACAATCCCAAACCATCACATTTGTATCCAACACTGACCGTTCTTATTCGCAATTCTGCTCACCATGCAGTCGCCTTCAGTTTCTTAACTTGACAGCAGCCGTGCTAAACAGTGACAGTATTGGATAAGTTTTTACGTGGTATCGCATGAATGTCTCGACATACACTGCCTGAAAAAGACGGCAATGTACCCTGTGGTATTGATGTGATGTGTATAATGACATCAACGCGAGAAATGCTTTCCAAGCGCAATGTCGATTGCTATATTCTACACACTTCTAAGATTATATTTCCACGAAACATACCATTTTACCCACTTAAACAGTATTGCATGCCTCAGTCTCTGATGTTGTATGGTGCCAATTTGCTTGCATGAACAATTATACAGCTGAAATCTTATTTATTTTCACTCCCATGAGATATGTATGCGAATTAAAATAAAATTAACATGGTGTGTGCACTTTTGGAATCGTTATTGGAACTTGCGAGATACTTGTAATTGCTCGCAAGGAAAAACTAAAATAATTTGAGTTTTACTTTACAATTGTTTTCTGTATCTTGATAAAGTCAAAGTAGACGTATATGTCCTTTTCCATTAATGTAAAATTATTTTTTATTGTGACAGGAATTCATTTTTTATATAGTTTAATGTAACATTTGATCGATGGTGTTTTCTTTGTTAAATCAAGTTTGTTTCTGACTCTGTACATTGACAATGTCTGATTCTACACTTGCCATGCTGAATTTTTAAATACTACAAATTTCCATGAGATTTATCAACAGCTAAAATGAACGTTTCTGTATCTTATTTCACTTAAGTGCATGGCACTATTGTTGTAATTTCTAAGTATCAGGTATGTTTCCTTCATATGTCGCTTTCTGTACGGGTAACGTAAAAAAGACAAAAGGAACTCAATGTTCACATCTCTTGAACGACGACAAAAGGAGGCTAAGGGATAACTGGAAAACATTTTCTTTAATAGAAAGTTTAGACATTGCTGTTATGTATAACAGAACATGTAATAAATTACATAGAAATATATTTTTTAGGTATAATTAATGTTCTCGTGGTTCTTGTTTCACGGGATATTATTTGTATCACCATGTCCTTTTCTTGGTGTCAAAATTGACATAGGGCATAGACATATTGAAAAATGCTTGTCTGTTGAAATTTGTCCTCGGGTAAAACAAAAATCACAGACGATATCTTAGCGGTTGACTAATTTATATGGATATTCCCTCTTGAAATTTATTGAAACAGCTGATACACTGTTTGCAAAAACCGTTGAGATGCAGCGAATCGTTCGCTTGCATGATTTGCTGAACAAAGCGCTCAAAGGCCCCTGTAGCAACTATATTAGGTTTTTATTAGAAAATAGGAGGGTGACATATAACTTCATTCCTTGCTAAATACAATCGAAGCTCGTTATCTCGAACTTGTGTTACTCAAAGACCCCGTTTAATTCGAAGCATTTCAGTCCCTGCTTAACTTTACACAAAACACTAGAACTCAATAAATTGAATACTCAGTTATCTCGAACTTTTTCCCTGGTCCGAGAGATTTCGTGATAACGAGATTCGATGTATATCAAATATGCACCCAAAAGAACCCAGATTCTATGTTAATTACTTTAATTGTAACCCAACTATATCTAATCTGGATGGTTTCAATTAAAAACAATGTTTTCAATATTTTGAAATAAAATATTATCTGAACTAAATTAGTTAACAAGTGACTCTGTATTTAATGGCTTTAATTACAAAATAATGTATGGTTTTGTATTTAATCATTTATTCAATCAGAATAGTGTATAAAGATCAAAGAAATATATGGAAGGTCTATTTAGTATGATATTATGACGTAAAAACTTAATAGTTTGAGATAAACAAACAGGATTTTGCTTGACTTGTGTTTCTCATTCCATGGCCTTCTAATTAAAGAGAGTTTGTTTTTCAAATTTGTAAAGTACATATGTTCATTGAATAGATACATATATTTTATCTACTGCAAAACTATTTAAATGTCCTGATTAGGGTCTTTATTCATCGGTATATTGACCAATAAGATCAATGGTTTCTTGTTATTTCAGTATATGGTACAGAGTTGTCTTCTATAAGATAACTTTAGAATAAGAACTCTGTTTTTGATATACTGACCTATAGTGTACTTATAAAATGTAATGAGTGGTTTGTCGATAAGGAAATTGTCTACAGGGTGATATATATATATATATATATATAGATCAGAGCATTCAAAATGGCGCTGCTACCTAGTTGTCTAGCATGTCGTAATTTGAATGTAACACTAATTTTTTTTTTTTTTTTTTTTATAAAGTGTTTGACTTTAATGGTTTGAATTACAAAATGACATAGTATATAATTATACAAGATGAGACAAGATGAGACCATTATGTTTTGTTCGTTAATTTTAACTCCGACTGTTCCAACGTCCATCAATTGCTCTAATAATATTTTACACTCTATCTATCAATACAATCAGATGAGTGTAAGACGATGCCTTTTTTTACATCTGTTTAAATATAATATCTAATTTTTTTACAGATATGTGGAGATTACAGGATCTGTACACATTATTTAGTAAATTTAGAAAAAATGTAACTATTATGGCGAAACAAATTGAGGATCCTAGGACAGCACATGATATCCTACATCGAATCGACAAAGTGGGCGTGCCATGTTCAGAAAAGATATTTGTCCTGGACTTCGATAGAAAACGTCTACCTGTTTTTCTGAAGAAGGTATGTAATGCATGGTATATCAAAATACTTTACATTAACTTTGCCTTATTTGAATTTATATTTAGGCATTCAAACACTTTTTTTCCATTTAAACACTTTATGAGTGAGTGTACGTATCGCAAACATCTACATATATGCTTTAAGTTCCAGTAAGTAAAAGTGATTTTATGCCGTTTCTCTTTAATCAATATTCGATTGTTTACGCATGGTTTTAGGCGATTCGTTTTCTTGCAACAATTCGTGTCTTTAACGAGTATTCTAATCCAGCATTGTGCATTCTTTGTTCTGCTTCAACACACTATCCTTTTAAATGGCGAAATTGTTGCCACAGTTAATACTATAGTTAATTAAGACCTTCATCTTCACTGATGAGTCCTAGAAAGACGAAACAGCTGCTTGATGTAGCATAACCGACGAGTCCTAGAAGGACGAAACAGCTGTACGATGTAGCATCACTGAGGAGTCCTAGAAGGACGAACAACTGTTTGATGTAGCATCACTGACGAGTCCTAAAAGGACGAAACAGCTGTATGATGTAGCATCACTGAGGAGTCCTAGAAGGACGAACAACTGTTTGATGTAGCATCACTGACGAGTCCTAAAAGGACGAAACGGCTGTACGATGTAGCATCACTGAAGAGTCATAGAAGAACGAACAACTGTTTGATGTAGCATCACTTACGGATCCTAAAAGGACGAAACTGCTATATGATGTAGCATCACTGACGAGTCCTACAATGACGAAACAGCTGCTTGATGTAGCATCACTGACGAGTCCTACAAGGACGAAACAGCTGCTTGATGTAGCATAACCGACGAGTCCTAGAAGGACGAAACAGCTGTACGATGTAGCATCACTGAGGAGTTCTAGAAGGACGAACAACTGTTTGATGTAGCATCACTGACGGATCATAAAAGGACGAAACAGCTGTATGATGTAGCATCACTGACGAGTCCTACAAGGACGAAACAGCTGTATGATGTAGCATCACTGACGGGTCCTACAAGGACGAAACAGCTGTATGATATAGCATCAATGACGGGTCCTACAAAGACGAAACAGCTGTATGATATAGCATCTTTCTCCACGCCGCGACATACCTAGTCATTAAAACATTATTAGGCGCCCTCTGCTAAACATGAAACTGTATGCACATGGAGATATCATTCCAATATGATTTGTCCGCATATTTTGTTATGATACCGTATTAAGGTTTTGATATTTCAGTGTTATGGGTCTGTTAATGCGTACATAATTTGCTCCAGTATACGTTCACCTTGTCTTCAAATTAAACTGCACAACGCACAAACATTAGCAATATCATATAGCAATATTCATTTAATATACAATGGTTTATGACGCTAAACCAGAACCAAAAAATATACAAATATCACTGTAAATTATTACTGGTATTAGCGTTGATGATTCGTAAGGAAAAATATTCTGAGATTAGAGAGCAATCAATCCGTGTTTTGCTGTGGTTTATTTGATTGATTTTTCTGCCGGCAGCAGATGTAAAATGGTTGTAATCTGTCTGAAAAACGGTCACGTCGTATTTCAATTGATTATTAACGAATGTGGGTTATTCTTGATGTTAATCCAAACTACAGGTAAGCCTGCTAGTGAATGATATTCTTTTCTTCCTTAATAGCAAACTGACAATTGCACGATAGGGATAGACATGTTCGTCAATATAAATGTTACCTGAAATGAGATATGATATTGCTAGGCACACACCGTTCTAGGTTTTGTTTCTTTTGATTGTGTTTTTAATGCCCTATCGGTATCATTTGGTCACATAACATAGTATTATAGGCTTTCGTAGAAAATAAATACAAATTGTTTTAAATGATTAACTATATTACTATTTTTCCAAAAAATAATAACTAATCAAAGACCAAACATAAAAAAAAAATAAAATCAATTTCATAGAAGGTTTTCCTGCTTAGTGCTATTATATATAATGAGATGATGTTGACGAATAACGATTTATAGTAGACTAGACTTTGTCATCAATACTTGCTTACATTTACCCTCCAATTCCACTTCATTAGAAAATAAAACTAAAAATTACTTTTACTGGACTAAAGACATAAACGCGTTCTCCTGCCATTTCGTACATTAGTTCTAACATTTTGTACATTGTTTCAGCCAGTTTGTACATTGTTTCAGCCCGTTTGTACATTGTTTCAGCCAGTTTGTACATTGTTTCAGCTAGTTTGTACATTATTGTTCATTATTATCGGTCTTCAACGACGACGATTGAGAAATTACTTTAGTAGTGTACTTTAATAGCTGTATGATATAGCATCACTAACGATTCCTGGAGTGACGAAACAGCTGTATGATATAGCACCACGGACGAGTCCTAGAGTGACGAAACTGCTGTATGATGTAGCATCACTGACGAGTCCTAGAGTGACGAAACTGCTGTATGATGTAGCATCACTAACGATTCCTGGAGTGACGAAACTGCTGTATGATGTAGCATCACTGACGAGTCCTAGAGTGACGAAACTGCTGTATGATGTAGCATCACTGACGAGTCCTAGAGTGACGAAACTGCTGTATGATGTAGCATCACTGACGAGTCCTAGAGTCATGAAACAGCAGTATGATATAGCACCACAGACGAGTCCTATAGTCATGAAACAGCAGTATGATATAGCACCACTGAAGAGTCTTAAAGTGACGAAACAGCTGTATGAAACAGCTGTATGATATAGCACCACTGAAGAGTCCTAAAGTGACGAAACAGCAGTATGATATAGCACCACTGAAGAGTCCTAAAGTGACGAAACAGCAGTATGATATAGCACCACTGAAGAGTCCTAAAGTGACGAAACAGCAGTATGATATAGCACCACTGAAGAGTCCTAAAGTGAAGAGTCCTAAAGTGACGAAACAGCTGTATGATATAGCACCACTGAAGAGTCCTAAAGTGACGAAACAGCTGTATGATATAGCACCACTGAAGAGTCATAGAAGGACAAAACATTAGTATGATATAGCATCACTGACGAGTCCTAGAAGGACGTAACAGCTGTATGATATAGCACCACTGAAGAGTCCTAAAGTGACGAAACAGCAGTATGATATAGCACCACTGAAGAGTCCTAAAGTGACGAAACAGCAGTATGATATAGCACCACTGAAGAGTCCTAAAGTGACGAAACAGCTGTATGATATAGCACCACTGAAGAGTCATAGAAGGACAAAACATTAGTATGATATAGCATCACTGACGAGTCCTAGAGTGACGAAACAGCAGTATGATATAGCACCACTGAAGAGTCCTAAAGTGACGAAACAGCAGTATGATATAGCACCACTGAAGAGTCCTAAAGTGACGAAACAGCTGTATGATATAGCACCACTGAAGAGTCATAGAAGGACAAAACATTAGTATGATATAGCATCACTGACGAGTCCTAGAGTGACGAAACAGCAGTATGATATAGCACCACTGAAGAGTCCTAAAGTGACGAAACAGCTGTATGATATAGCATCACTGACGAGTCCTAGAAGGACGTAACAGCTGTATGATATAGCACCACTGACGAGTCCTAGAAGGACGTAACAGCTGTATGATATAGCACCACTGACGAGTCCTAGAAGGACGTAACAGCTGTATGATATAGCATCACTGACGAGTCCTAGAAGGACGTAACAGCTGTATGATATAGCACCACTGAAGAGTCCTAAAGTGACGAAACAGCAGTATGATATAGCACCACTGAAGAGTCCTAAAGTGACGAAACAGCTGTATGATATAGCATCACTGAGGAGTCCTAGAAGGACGTAACAGCTGTATGATGCAGTTTAATTAATTATTTGACTCTACTGTATCTAACTCTAAAATTTGTATTAAAGGTGTTATTCACCTTGTGTGTCTTTGTACAATTTTTTTTATAAAAAGTTATTCTAGATTAAATCTGAATGTCAATAGGTCATGGTCAGCTACTAGTAATGGATCGACTCCATTTGTCAGGCGTGGATTCGATTATATCGAGATTACTTCAAAAGAATAAATTCATATCAGAAATCTAGTAGTCATATACATGAGCAGAACAGCATTTAGTTGCCGGGGTCGCTGTAACCTGCATGGCACATTTTATTATTCATACACACGTATCCGACATTCTTCTAAAATTTTGAGCTGTATGATAATTACAAAATCTATCTAATAAAGAGCACTTCCACATCAGGATTTTGACATTTCTTCCAATTAATTTTAATTTCCTCATTCGCCTCTTGGGTATAAAGATTTAGGTTCTTAGCATCAATGACGAGTCATACAAGGACGAAATTGTTGCATGATGCAGTTGAATTCATTTTTTGACTCTAATGTGCAAGATGCTAAATTTGTATCGAACGGTGAACACCATTTTTCACTTCGTAATGTTTTACGTGATAAAATCTGTGGCGCGTCATCACATAGCAATAGTGTCAGTGACGCAAAACATTACTTGTCAATGTAAGATAACTTTTTTGTCATTTTCACGTAATTTTAGGTTCTATGAAAATACATTTGGCATTATATCGATAGATGATGCATAAGTATATGTTATACAAAATATTACATATGTTTATTTTGTAGCAAAAAGCTGTTGTTTTTTCATTGAATTACCCACTGTCAGTTTTGTTTCAAAGCAAACTGAAGATTTATCTAAAAAGCAACAGTGCCTATAAGAAAAGCGGGCGTGGTGCAAGATTAAAAACATGACTTTCAACCCTTATGGAATTACTACCATTCAATAGTTTTTGGATTTTTGGGGCTTTTTTTCTTTCAAAACCTAATTTTATGTAGACAAATTGATGATTCAATTGTAACATAATCTTAAACAATTTAAATAATCCTTGTTTGCGTGATCCAGCTGTAGTCATAAATATGTTTCATTATAAAAGTAAACTCTATGAATAGCATCACGCGACGCTAAATAAACATTGCGAGTTGAACTGAAATATATCGGTACAATGTGGACATCCAGACACTCGGTCCGTCCGCTCCTTTGCCAATATTCACTGAATTAATGACATTATCACCATAAATTGCACTCCTGATAATGGATGGACAAGGATGACAATCAATACCGTTGATGATCACTTTGATAGAATGAGGCAATTAAATTCTACTTTTGTAATGATATATCTTAAATTCGATCATGAAAGACAAGTAATATTACAGATCACGGGAAATGCCTCTTCTGGTATATTATCAATATCACCAAATATCTGGATTTGTACTTTTGTCGTTATATGCCTTAATGTCCTAGAATGAGAATACCGCAACCGTATGTACTTTAGGCATTACAGATGTTGTATCAACATGTGATCTTACTAATTTGATATTCTAAATACTATATGTATAGCAAGTATTCTAGATGTACTACTTCGCCAAAATATGCTCTTAAGTGTAAGTACACCAAATTTAATATATTTACATCACAAACACATGTGCCAATTACACTTGCTAAGGAATGATTTTCAAACAGCTTCTGAACTGAAACGGAGGCAAAATTCATCAAATTAATCTACTATCTCTTTCTCTCTCATGGACTGCTTTTTACCTGAATGCCAGGACTGATATGACAACATTACCACCTCTATTCCAGGCAGTGTATGAGCTCTCTGTCTAGACCGAGACTTACTGTTATGTGATTGTCGATCTGCGTGAAATGAATTGGTGTGAAGTATTTGTTAACGATTTTTTAAAAAGTATAAGGTAATCAAGTTAAATGTCATACTACCAGGTTTCGTTTGTTTAAGTCATATTAACACGTGTTGGTCATTTCAAGATGATGACTACGCAGAAATGTATAGATTAAGACGGATGTCGTTAAAAGATTGTACTAAAGACACAGTAGCGAATAACACTTAGAGTGATTCCTTGCTATGTTATATAATTGACTCGTTGTCATGACAAACTTCCTGGTTCAATATAGCCTGGACATTCCAATTAGTAGTGAGAGCCAGACAGTGTATATAAGTACAAAAAGGTTTAATGCTTTGGTACATCGCGTCCAGATAACAGATTCCGTAGTCTTCACACAAATAAATGCCCAACTTTAAGTTAAAAGAAAAGGCAGTGTTCAGGGAGTCATAAGATAGAAAAGAAAAACACTAAGATAAATCAAATTCTGATCGTGACATTAGACACATATCGTATACATACGTGTAGGGAAAATATCCCTGCTTAATATAAGAACATGCTGTTAGAGGTGACTAATTGTGGGATAATGTCTACTGTATTCCACTGCATGGTCTTGGTAGGCGACTTTAAAAGTTGTTCATTTGCAGAGTCGAGGGTTTAATAAAGAATGTAGACACCGAAAAAGATATGTTTCTTTGGTGATTCTTGAGATATTGATCCCCTGCTGCCCCTATGACAATACTTGAGATCTTGATCATCTGTTGCCCCTATGACAATACTTGAGATCTTGATCCCCTGTTGCCCCTATGACAATACTTGAGATCTTGATCATCTGTTGCCCCTATGACAATACTTGAGATCTTGATCATCTGTTGCCCCTATGACAATACTTGAGATATTGATCCCCTGTTGCCCTTATGACAATACTTGAGATTTTCATCCCCTGTTGCCTCTATGACAATACTTGAGATCTTGATCCCCTGTTGCCCCTATTACAATACTTGAGATATTGATACTCTGTTGCCCCTATGACAATACTTGAGATGTTGATCCCCTGTTGCCCCTATAACAATATTTAAGATCTTGACCCCCTGTTGCCCTTAGGACAATACTTGAGATATTGATCATCTGTTGCCCCTATGACAATACTTGAGATATTGATGCCCTGTTGCCCCTATGACAATACTTGAGATCTTGATCATCTGTTGCCCCTATGACAATACTTGAGATCTTGATCATCTGTTGCCCCTATGACAATACTTGAGATCTTGATCATCTGTTGCCCCTATGACAATATTTGAGATCTTGATCATCTGTTGCCCCTATGACAATACTTGAGATCTTGATCATCTGTTGCCCCTATGACAATATTTGAGATCTTGATCATCTGTTGCCCCTATGACAATACTTGAGATCTTGATCATCTGTTGCCCCCATGACAATACTTGAGATCTTGATCATCTGTTGCCCCTATGACAATACTTGAGATCTTGATCATCTGCTGTCCCTATGACAATACTTGAGATCTTGATCATCTGCTGTCCCTATGACAATACTTGAGATCTTGATCATCTGTTGTCCCTATGACAATACTTGAGACCTTAATCTCTTGCTTTCTATATTAACCGTTCTTTCTATGCTTTGTTTTCACTCATAATATCCATCTGGACACCTGTCCTATGCGACCCTTGCTGTTGCAAGGACGTTAATTCGGTGATGAAAATATCCTTTATGCTATTACATTGTATTGCCTGACCTTCTGTTTATACACTTTTTTATATTAGATAAGTTGTTCCGTGGATATAAAACCAAGGACCAATCATTAAACCCTAATCGATATATTAGTCTATATGTTTTAATCTTTACGTCATAATCTGTTATCCGGCGTTGTGTATCTTGGCACTTGCGTTCGAATATTATGGCATATCAAAATGAAATTGGGGAACAATATCAACATTTTTAGTTAGATTTTATGGCAAGACTTAGAAAATAAGTATATATGACAATATGACTAATAAAACACGATTTGGTACCGAGATATTTATGTAACTATACAACATCTCCCTAATTTGGATTTTATATGTATTTGAAATCAGATTTAATTCACAGTTATTGGTACCTTGTGAAGGAGAAGAATAGATAGATAGCTATTCGTATCTCATTTATCTATGTCCCATATGAACATTTAAAGGGTGTGTTTTTATGAAAAATTATTTTATGACCTTGTAGCTCACAGAAGTAGGAATGAATAGGGATGGCTACAACTACATAATTACAAGTTTGGTGAGTGTGTCTTTATTCGTTATCATGCTCTCTCTTAAAGAGTACCATTTTTATAATGACATGGAGCATCACTTTTGATTGACGACCATTTAATGACGTTTTAATGATGTACGCTCCCATTATGACACACGTGCTGTTTTCTTAATATTATGCAAAATAACGACAGCTATTTCAAACTATGTCTTACATCATTTAAATCCGATAAAAACAAATATTTGTCCTGTTTAACCTCAATATGTTCTTTCCGGAATAGAAAACAGATTTAGATACAACAATAATTATCATCTATCAATAGTATTACTTGGAATAGTAAATTGCATACAAAACACACTTAGAAACATATTTACGCGATAACATATTTTCATTTATGTGCTCCTAACAACAGATCATGCCTTAATAAGTTTGTCTTACTTTACGCTATTTCAGGATATCAAAGATATTGACCTGAAAATATTTTTCCATAGTGGGGCAACATTTACAGGATTTCAGCTACTAAACAACGAAAATATTAATTTACAACGTTTTCTGGGAAAATGGAATGTTTCAAGCAGTTTTGAAAACAACATAGTACCTGATTTCACGGTAGGTACTAATAATCCTGAAACACGAGAATGCATACCTGATGTATCTTGACATTTTCAATGATATATCTAACTTCGGAAAGAAAAAACCTTATTCTTCCTTGCGGAAATGTACAACTCTTATATTTTCTTTCAAAGAAATGTCACATTGTCACAAATGACTATATCAGATATATGTATTTCCTGAGCGAAATTAAAATTTATAGTAGAAAAACATAATGCTTTCGAACTTCGGCATCCTGAACATCCATTTAGTGCACGTGTTTCCAGGATTAAGCAGAAGACGCTTACTCTTCAGAATCGATTTATCTTATTCTCCTTGTATCTTTCCAGTGGTCTCAGTGTGTAAATCTTTTGTCGTTCAAGTTTAGTCTTGTTTCATTGATTTTGATTTCGAGTAAATATTTTGTACGATGATTTCAGACTGATTTGGCGTTGATGGTTGATGGAATCGCCAGTTTAACCAATGCTCTGAATGCCACCTTAGTTAGAGAACTAAAGACTGGACAATTGAAAGTTTTCAAAAGAAGACGCGGCCAATTTTACAATACAGACGAAAACCAAGGGATTTTGTGCTCTCCAAAAGTTCTTTATGCAAATGGACCTGAAGTTCTTGCCGCTTTGAAAAATGTAAGCAAACAAATTAGCCAGTCTTAACGAATTATTCGTGAACAACAAATAGCAGAATTTGTATGGACTTGTCCTTTTCTTTTAAAGAGGAGAATGACATAGTTGTAATTGTTTTCTCTGATGAAACAAATCTGGTTTTATGGTGTCAAAATTTGATTTTTGATATGGAAAACGTGCACAGTTTTATGAAGCCCGTATGCTAATTACATTTGGATAGGGATGTTTCAGTTTCATGCCGTGTGAAAGAAAAGTCGAATTATAAACTGAAATATTGTGCGTTTTAATGGAGGAATGAAAGAAAGATAGAGTGATGGTTTGGAAAGTAGTATGTTATTTATAAACAACGAAGATAATAGATGTATTTACAATAAATTAAATCTTGTCTTTGTAGCAAAAAATGTGAAGTTTCCATTTGAATTTAACATTTAATACTTATAACTTTGTAATATATGGTTAATTTAATTCTTGATCATCAGTTTATATAACGAATCTATATGGGGGTTTCAAATTGGAAATTGTAAAATTGTAACATCAAAACTTATATTTTGTGACATCAACAAACATTTTTTCATTGTCATGACACTTTCAGGCCAAAAGCAGTAAAACGTACTCCAATTTTTTTCAGGTTTCTCATATAATGGGTAACATAACATGGATTAGACATCCATGCTGAATATATGTAAAACGAATATATATTAAAAAATTGTTGCAAGTCAACAATTGTTTTCATGAAATCAACATAACATATTATTTGTTCTTGTTTCGATTACAGATTGAATTTCCAGGAATTACTGGAAATGTACAGTTTAACGAGGATGGAGAGAGGGTGAATTACACACTACAAGTTTATCAAAGTAGTTACAAACAGAGTGCTAAAAAGGTAATCTATAACCACTAGCAACATTGATGTTTTTACCATTGGAAATAAAAAGAATATTTAATATGTCAGCCTGTTCTCCTTTGCTGTAAACGAAAATGTGAACATTTTGTAAATGTAATTTTGTTCAGCAGTATATCTGATAAACATTAATATATGTGTTGCTGACGTATCACAAAAACACACATTGGTTTTAACTTGTAGATTGGACAGTGGTCTTCGACAGAGGGTTTACAATTGACAACTATGCCCCTAACTCGACCAATAAGCGAGCAGCATGTGAAAATAGTAACAACTGTTTTGGTAAGTGAAATAAATATAAAATGAAGACCTCAGAAGATCCAATAGTTTCTTATCGACTATTATGTTTCCTAAGTGAGTTGATATACCCACGGTTTTCGGTTATGAATCATTTAAGTTTTCTATCAGTATTTTGGTCATATGACCTTATTTGTCCCGTACCATGCATGTCTCGTTTTAATTCATTCGAATAGTGGCATATACACATACACATGACTTTCTTCTATTAGATTTATATAAACATATACTGAATCATACGGATAGTGCACTTCCCAATACACATTTTGACATTTTTTTTAATCGCTTTGAAACTTTCTCAGTAACATTTAGGCCCTTGGAACCAACGATGAGTCCTAGAAGGAGAAAACAGCTGTATGATTCAGTTAAATTCATCGTTTGTCCTATCCAACTCTAAATTTGTATTAAATTGTGCTATTCGCTTGCGTATATTTCGATAATCTTGTTAAAACACAAGAACGAGAAAGACTTAGGTCTGGAAGCTATAGTTATCATCCTTAATATCACTGACAATACCTAGAAGGACGTTACAGTGGTATGGAGCAGATAAATATAACCAAACGCTTTACTTTATCTGATTATAAAATCTCTTTTGAAATGTGCTCATCACTTTTCTGTATTTTGCGAAACAACCTATCATCTTATCTTAATCAATATTGTTGGCTTGGATGGAAAAGCGCAGGGTGGGGGTGAGGGGAGGGGGGAATGGTCTTACTTTGTGAGGAAACCGCAATACCTGGGTAAAGCCCACGTGGTCGTGCGAATGATCCCATACCTTTTCACGTCCGTTCAAGGGACAGAACCTCACACGACCATGTGGAAGGCAAGTGCGTTATCACTGCGCCATCCGACCACCTATTTTTAAACATTTATGTAAGGAATTGTTAAGTCTACATTTTTTTCTTTCCTGTACCGGAGTTTAAAAATTCTTATTGTTGTGGGTTTCCTCAATTTGCTTGTTTATCATATGGTACCGATATCCTGTTGGAGCCTAACAGCTTAGAAAAACATATTCACTTTTATACATCAAAAGACTGTTCTTAATTTTATCACGTACATCATATATAACCATTCCATCAAGGTACTTATCTTAGGATCAGGTTTTCACGCTGGCCCTTCCGGACGCCCCTCTGTTGCAAATTAACATAAATACTCCACGAATGTGCATGACCATAGCTATTCTCTCAATTTAGATATCTGAGGATCATTTTTCCGTGCACAACCTTTTATACAGTTATGCCTTTTTTACTTTGAAAATATCCTATATCCAAACAGAAAACAACCTTTTGCCCTATTTCAATTTAATTTTATTCATATCATTAACATCTCCTTGGATTTGCGAATCTCCAGACCACTTTCCGATTCTAGTTTTTTAGGTTGCAGCCCTTAGCTGAGAAATAGCACATAACTATCTTTATCACTCTTAATAAACAAGTGGACATTTTATTTTTCAGTTCAATAAAAAGTTATGCCTTAAGGACTTTTTACGGGGTATTGATTTTTTCCATTGATTCTATGGAGTTATGCCACTTTACTGAAAATAATCTATAGCCTTGCCCCGACTTGAAATCTGATATCAGCAATAATTTACTCATATAATGACTTGATCCCTCTTATATGTATTTGGGGTATTAGTTTTTCACAGATTGCCATGGTTACGGAAACTCATTTGCCAAAAAATGCTTAGTAAAATCTTCGATACCTAAATAATATCACTCAGCCTCTTTCATTGGCAATTGGTGTATTAATTAATACATTTTTCAGTTGAAGTGATTGTGAATGGTTAAAATCTTTGCACGTATTAGTCGGCGAAAAGACCTATTACTATTGTTATGTTTTTCCTATCCCAATCATTCTGATAATTTTCTGCCATGGCTTTAAAACTATTGATTACACAGTAGCGTTTGTACAATTGTATAATTTGAAAAAGGTCCCAAAAATATGAGGATATTTTTTATTACAAGGTTATACAAAAATAGGACAAAAACAAAGCTTCGCTGCTAGGTCAAAGGTCACAAATTTTCCATTGTTTATTTTTATTTTTCAATTTATTGGAAAAATAAACATTACCATCCTAATGAAGTTGTAACGGTTACAATATTTTTTGAAGTTGTTGCATTTAAATTTCTCAGACAACCTTCCAATTTTTTTCATTGAAAAAATCAATAGCTGTCATTACGTAATGCCTTTTTTTCTTTAAACTGCAATAACTAATTAAATGATTGATCATTTAAATATATCTTTGGGTCTTAAGACCTACAATTAAAAGCTTTCCTCTAGAAAAATTTTCATGTCAACATTTTAACTTTCAGTTTGAGGGTTGCTAGTCAAAAGTAATATTTGAACTGATATAACTTCTTTTCAATAACCAAGATACCCAGGGTTATGTTATTTGGTCAGAGGGAAGAATGGCTATTAAGGTTTGTTTATTTTTTAAACAAATGTACTTCAGATGTGTCAAAATCTTCTAAATGACCGATCTCAAATGCGATCAAATAAATTACCTTGACCTACTTTCGACGTAGCAGGGTGAAATGTGATGTCATCTTTAAACAAGTTCTAATTAAGCAAGAGGCCAAGGGTGAAAACATTTGAGGCATGCTGGAGTGAACGTTTGTCGCAAATTTGCAACATATGCAGAATTTTTCGTACTTTGATATGCCTTTTAGAAAGATTAAGCCTTTGGGACATAGCTTTTATGTAGATGAAAAGCTTGTCGTACTATTAGCCAAGAATTTTTAATTATCCTTGGGATGTCAAATTTATACTTTATTACGGATTACTATGTAAACGTCATATTTTGCAGCCGTTTCATCGATTTTGAGCTTAAATCGTTGTGTTGTTGAAACTTATTCTGGTGTGTTTTTTTTTTTTTTTTTTATTATTATTATTATTTTTATTTCAGGCTCAACCGTTTGTGCAGCTAAAGGAGGAAAATGATAATGGAAAACCTGACCCAGAGTATGAAGGCTTTTGTGTAGATTTGTTAAAGGAAATAACTGCTACACACTTCGTTAATTTCACATATAGATTTGTAATACAGAAAGATGATGAGTACGGTGTCAGGATGAAGAACGGTAGCTGGACAGGGATGATAGGCGAAATTGTCTCTCGTGTAAGTGTCAAAACATTAGAGTTATTTAGTGTAAGAACCATGGCGCATAATTGAATATTCTGTTCTGATAATCGCATATTTATATTTTGAAATGAAAAAAAATATTATTTTAAAGAAAACAATGGTATTTTTGAAATGAAACTTCCAATCTTCGATTTTTGTCCCAATATACAATTATATACAAGTATCTGATCAGCAAATTGTCCATTTTCGAAAACTTGCCACTTTGGTGAAAACCTATTATCAATGTGAGTCCCCTACCGGCTTTTAATAGAAGATGGGTCTTAATCTCTCTTCTGGATTTGAATACATTCTGTCACTAATATCACTACATAGAAACAAAAAGGATATATGCTGCCGTTTTATTAAATATGCCACATACATTGTAAACTTCAAGATGATGTTGAATGTGCTTACAAAAAGTGGTAATATTCCAGCGCTTAACTGAATCATACGGACATTGACTAATATAAGCATGACCGACTGTGCTTCCTTTTCCGCCTTTTAATATTGTTTTAAGTCATACTAAATTTACGTGTGTAATAGTTTGATATAATGAAATTGAATTTCACAACTATCATTATATTTTACCTGCCGATGACAGTAGTACGATATTCTATCCCCACCGTTTTCTATTGTTCCCTGTTATGGAATCGATTTGTAAATAATGACGCACAGTTACGTAATACAACCCCGACCGTACATTTTGTATGCCTTGTCTCTACAAAGCTGTATCATAGTTCTGGTTTTCCTATGGGAATAGATGTGTAACGTTACGAAGTGCTAATAACTTGAATAGGCATAAACTTGCTTCTAAAAGACAACATTACACTGAAGCCATGCAATAAAACCTTTGGTCATTTTACAGTAGAAAATAATGTATTATTGCAAAAGCAGCCGCTGAGAATTTTAGTCTCATAAAGGTTTAGTTTGAATTGATTAACAGTGCTATTTGATAATAAGCTTCACACTGACAAAGATCAAATGACGTCATTACAAATCCACATCGCTTTAGTAGCTGACTCCTCATGTCGTGTGCATCCAATGTTGTTAGTGATTCTCTCAAGTAAACGCAGAGGAAGTCCTTTAAATATATGAAAGATTCTCTATCGTCTGATGTTTTAATGATTAAACCTGTCCTTTCCGAAAAAAGCTTTGCTTGATCATAATTTTACATATTCTATGTATTTTCATATTTGTTCAGCAAGCGCATTTGGCAGTCGCTCCAATAACCATAACCAGGGAGAGAGAAGAGGATGTTGACTTTACAAAACCATTTATGAAAACTGGAATTTCCATAATGATTAAACGCCCGGACAAGCAAAAACCAGGAGTATTTTCATTTAAAGAACCATTGTCCAACATGGTATGGCTATGTATCACAGTTGGCTTTTTAGCAGTCAGTACAATATTGTTCCTTGTTGGTCGCTTCAGTCCATACGAATGGAAGGAAAACTCAACGACAGGGCCATCAGACGATTTTAATATGCTGAATTCTCTCTGGTCGAACCTCGGGGCCCTCATGATGCAAGGCTCGGATATATTTCCAAGGTAAAGATTCTATACGCCAACATCAAATCCTGAATTTATAGATAGCCTGATAAATTCTTCATCTTCACAAAAGGGGCAGATAATCAATCCAATCTTGAATAGATGCTAAAAAACATGCTGAAATTTGCAATACACATAAACCAACGTTGGAATTTTACACCTTTATCGTTTACTGACAAGCATATTTTGAAGAAATGAAACGGAAACCGATGCTTCCTTCAGTGCCTCTGAATTTTTCCTTTCCCGCTTCTATCCCTTAAAGTCCGCCTTATATGTAAGCTTTACTTAACTTACAATAATTGAGAAACAAGGTATTTCAACTGAACCAATTTTGCTGGCCCATATAGAAGCATAGGTGGGTCCTATGGTGAGAAGAAAACAGAGTACCTGGGGGAAAACTACGTGATCGTGCAAGTGACATCTTTAGTCCGTTCGTGTAACTTAAGCATTGCCGGCAGAGTGAATGGCGAATGTGTTACCAATGATCAACCCATCTGTCTTTTGTATCAATGTTCCACGGAGGTTACTCTCAACAAAGATGATCAAAAACCAATAAAGTGAATTGACATCACTGTATTTGTAATGCATTAAATGAAACTGATAAATTATTAACACTTTTCAATAGCATGCTATCTACTACATTTAAATTTCGTTATATTGTTTATCTGCATTCCAAACGAAAACATCTATACAATGAAATACGCATATCGTGAACATGGTACACAGTGTTTGCATGTGTTATTTCAGTGTACAGGTTTTTTTTTACTTCACTTTAACAAGAAGTGATGAGATTCAAATTTTGAAGATGAGTTATGCTTTCTGAAGACTGGCATGTCTTTATATAAATATGTATAGCCATTAAGGAAATATACCAGAAATATGCATGATATCAGAGAGCCTGTCTAAAAGATTCTTTCAGACACAGTGCGATAGATATATTGTAACCTATGGTCAAGATCAAAAGTGTAAATACTGCAAGGAATAAATATATTTCATACGTCTTTGTGGTGCGCTGTCATTGTAACTGATTGACAAACTAATATTTCAATCATTTGTGCAAATAAAAAAAAGTTATATTACAAACCCCTCCCTTGTTCAAGGCTTTCTCTTGAATCCTTTTTGTTTATAGTTTAGCCCTTTCTTTTGGTTGATTTTGAGATACATACAGAACTGTGATTTTGCTCGCAATGTTAGTTCTTGATATAAGCATTCTTTATATGACATGCCATTTTACTTAGAATCCGAAGCAATGTCTTTAATTGCAGTAAATTTTCAATGATTAATTGATTTCTCGAAATGCACTTTTCTCCGAACACAATTATTTTTTTGCCTTATGTCAGATTCATCATTCCTTTTTCTCAATATATCTTCAAAATGACATTTTTGCGTATATTGCTTGGTAAGTAATCAATTTTTTCAAGAAAAATTACTATACGCTGATGAAGCTATTCCTGAAGAGTGCAACATAGACATTTTATCTGTAGCCGCAGATAGAATAAATAGTACATGTACATAGATATACGATAATTACTGCTAACATAGATTTAAATCTTCATAATTGTTACAGCTGCTGAACGGAATATTGATTTCTATAGTAGAGAACCATTCCCAGTGAAAATTGCTCTTTTGTACAAGTTTTTGCATTATTAATATTCTCAAGGCATCTTCCATTAAGATATTATCAGTTTTAAGCTTTGCTGTATATGACAAATGAAAGGATAGCACAGCATTTCAGTAGTCCTTCTGAAATGACAGTACCTGCTTTAGTACAGCAATAAGTCTTAAAGGGACAAGTATGTCAGAAGCGCATATATATATATATAACATTATTATTGCATAAGGGGGGAAAAGGGAAATTCAAATGAAAGTTGAACAAAAATTGAGGCTTTTAAGTTTTTTATATATATATATATATATATATCAATTAATCAGAACAAACATTATCATGACATATTTCTAATTCAGGATAGTAAGAGTATTTTCCAAAATATCACATTACAAATCACGGTATCCGTTCCCGAGTCTTTGATTACTTTCTACTTTAGCTGCCTCTGTAAATATATATATATATATAGCTTGTCTGACTTTAGAAGATATCCATTGCAACAATAACATAATTTCAGGACAAATGAATAACCTGATGCTTACTTTTATTTAAGGTCTATATCTGGACGAACGGCTGAGAGCGCCTGGTGGTTTTTCACTTTGATTTTGATATCATCCTACACTGCCAATCTAGCAGCCTTTCTGACTGTTGAACAATTCTCCATCCCTATCGACTCTGTCGACGACCTGGCGAACCAAAACACAATTAAATACGGCGTTCTTGCCGGAGGTTCTACCATTACGTTTTTTGGGGTAAATTCAACTTAATGCATTTGACTGATATTTGGTATATTGCTTTGGTGTATAAATTCGAGTCATATTTTCTGATGATAAAATGTGAATTTTTTATCAATTTGACCTTCATTTCAGTCTGCAGTAGAGATATTGTTATCTTTAAACATACTCCTGATGTGCTCCTGATGTCTGATAAATTGCAATTTTCAAGATGCATTTTCTTTTACCATACCTTGATATCTTTTATAAAATAATTATATTTTTAGTATCTTAACTCCATATGTTTCAGGGATCCAAAGTCACGGTATATCAAAAGATGTGGAAAGTTATGAAATCTCGAAACGAAACAGGAGCTGACATTTTTATGGAATCAAACGAAAAGGGCTGGCAAAAGGTTCAAACTTCAAAAGGCAAATATGCCTTTTTATTAGAAGAATCCTTTAATGAATATTTCAACAACAGAAAACCATGTAGTACTATGAAAGTTGGTAACACTCTCAACAGTTTTGGATATGGCATAGCACTTCCTATTGGCAGTAAAATAAGGTATCCATCTTTTAAATTATTCTGTTTTCAATTCGACGAAACAAATAAGATAACCAAAATAACATCGCTCATGTTTCAACTTACTCGTTAATGACAATGGCTAATTAAATGATATTGATATAGCAGATTTGCTTAGAATTTTAACAATTTTTACTTTCCAATTTGGTCTTGGACATGTGGAATTGAAAATTGATTGATATCGTCTCCTGCGGTTAATTCACAACCTATAATTAACCTATGTGGAAAGTACACAATCAAAAGACCATACATCCGAATTTTATAATTGACCATGTGCTTTCATATTTTCATTTGTCCTCAAAACGTTTCCGGATGCGGATAACGAATGACAAACATTATTCTGATAAAATGTGATACTGTAAGATTTTACAGACTTGTGTAACGGTGTTTATCCTTATCTTACAGTAAAGGTGTTAATTTAGCAGTTTTACACTTACGAGAGATTGGTCATTTGATTCGCCTTCGTCAGAAGTGGTGGGTTGACCGTGGTCAGTGCGGTGGGGTCACAGGGGTAAGTAGTATTTGAAGTATTTGGCAATAATATATATGGGGCAATCAGGGACATTAACATCATTGACAGAAATTCGATTTACTGTACTCAAAGTGTATGGTGACACAAGTAATGTTGATACTTTGACATGCTTAAATAAACATACTAACGCAGAAAATATCACTTTTGTCCATAAATGTTCCGCGAACAGCGGTGAAAATTGAAAGAGAACGAATGTCAACACGATCACACGCATGATATTAAAAATGTTAACGATAGATTCACAGCTCTCATCAATAATCAAGGTTTAATAACATACTGGGGTAAACTATATCCTCTATCACATACAGTTACCAGTAAGCTAGTTTTCAGAATTTGATCGTCTTATGTTATATCATTCGTTTAAAAAAAGCTACGTTTTAACATTGATGTAATCATTTAATAGGTGTTACCATTTTAAGTATTGTTAACTTGAAATGGATGGAGATTATTTCATATTAAACTGTATTCTGCATTTTCTATATATTCATAGATATATAAAGGGGATATGTATGTCACTGCGGACAGTATCCCCTTACGTGTTATACACGTGTGATATTCTTGTTTAAATGGTGACTAGGGTTATGTGATGCCTGATAAACCTTCTGTTTAAAGAATCTAACCTTCCATATATCCGCATGTTAAAGAAAGACTTCGCTATTTGTGTGTCAGATTTCGCTATTAGTGTGTTAGACTTCGATATTTGTGCGTCAGACTCCACTTTTTGTGTGCCAGACTCCACTTTTTGTGTGCCAGATGTCGCTATTTGTGTGTCAGACTTCAATATTTGTGTTCCAGATTTCGCTATTTGTGTCAGATTCCGCAATTTGTGTTCCAGACGTCGCTATTTGTGTGTCATATTTCGCTATTTGTGTGTCAGACTGCTATCTGTGTGTCAGATTTCGCTATTTGTGAGTCAATGATGATCAAATGGTCTATATTAATTATTTTTCACATATATTTCAGGGCAAAGGGAAGAAGTCTCTTTCCCTGAGTAATGTATCAGGAATTTTCCACATCCTTATTGGGGGACTAGTACTCGCCATGCTTGTTTCAATCATAGAATATGCAACGCATGTACATTGCAAACGACGGAAAAAGTACAAGGTAGGTTTATGTGTAACCTGTATGTAAGACGAGTAACGCCAATTGGTATGTCGAGTACATGTCATGATATACCGATTTTCACACACTGTCATGTCCGTTTTTGCTCAGTCGGCAGAACGCTGGCTTCAGTAACCTTAGATGAAGATCCAGTATGCTTAATTCGACGATCCCTGTCAGTGTCTGTCTCGTTTCTATGGAAAGTTAGAAACGGGCAGGTCTGAGCTGAGGTTGTTGTCGCCGTGGGAAAGACACTTTACCTGATATGCCCTAAATTGCATGCGATTGGTTTCCTTTATATTGTTATATGAAGTAGTCACCAACGACTACATGAAGACCATTCTCAAAATGACAATAACATGAGGCAAACCAATCATACCTTTATTTGTAGACGTGCCGTTGTGCAAAGTTATACACATGACACTTTCCAATATCAATTCATTGATAAAAACATCATATACCGAATAATGTTTTAAACAACATCATCCTACCATTCGATTTTTATCATGAACGATAGCGGGAGCAGTGCACTAGTTCTTTGTCGTTTCAATCATATTAGTATACTAGATAATGGATTATTTTACAGGAACAATACAAATTCAATCGTGCCACTTATTACCAAACCAGGCATTGTATGATGCATTATGTTGTACAAAAAGTATCCTATTTTTGTTTAAGACTTGTAAAATAACAATTTCTGAAACTCATTTCATAAATGAATTGAAAGATAAGTTAAGATCTTATTTATATGAACGCCAGAAACTTTATCAATAAAAGAGCAATTGCACTTAAATGCTTTTATAATCAAAGATAACAATTTTACTGTTATTGCTCTTCTAAATGTACGTATGTATTGACAGGTTCAGAAAAAGAAAGAAAAGGCATTTAAATCAGCGACTCCAAATAAAGGAGAACTACAACCATTAAGAACCAATGGAAACGATGGAGCAATAGAGAACAAGGGTCTATGTTACACACAAGAGGTAAAGATATTTGTCCTTTTATCAATAGTTTTTCATCATAGCCATTTTATTGTCTAAACATATAAAAAAATGGCTATCAAAATATGTATTAGTGGCAGTTATGTCAAGTCTCAGTGGAATATGGTTAATGAGAGGATCAAATATTACAGTAGGATTTCTGTTTAAAGACGAACAAAAACCGTTTTGTGGAGATGGAGGTAATGTCTCCGCGAACGGTGTTGGTAGCTTGTGTGGCTACCGTTGGGAAGCATTATATCGCCGGCTCATAGAGCTTGTACTCATAGAGTTTGTAAATCGTTGAATTGTGTGAACCGGAATGGCGTTCCATCCCTCGTTCGATGACTGTGCCATTTCCTGTATAATGATAGGTGGATTTGGCCGACGCCGTACTCGTTTTCTAAGAGCATCCAAGATTTGCTCTGTTCGGGTCGGATCGGGTAATATTGCAGGCCAAAACTTGAATATGGTCCTGCTGTTAGACCGTCCTAGTCACTTGACTGGTGTGGGATGTCGCAATCATCATACTGCACATGGACCGCGCTTCTCGACGTTGTAAATCCGGAACGGAAATACACATTTATTTCTTATTTCATTCCAATAGATATGTGAGGTTTTAAATGGAAATGATCTGTTTCAGTTGATTAATATGTTTTCTATCTATGATAACATTCACGTATGTGTATTTGTCTTTAGTAGCGGGTTGCACGCATTCCATGTCCAGATGCACGTATTCATAAATCATAGGTAGAAATACGCCAAAGCATAACTAGCCATATAGATTGCCTTGTTATATGATAAAGCTAGCAGAACCAGAATAGAAACCTCTCTTTCTGGGTTATGGTAGATTTAGAACGATAGATGTGGATCATTTACTCAAAATCAGTTTTTTTTTTTTTTTTTTTTTTTTTTTTTGTCGCCGGCATTATAATGTTACAGATGCTGACGAGACCCGAAAACCGCAAACACGTATCGAATAGTAAGAGTAATATGTTATTCATTGTACAGTATAATTTCGATAATTGTCATCGTTTACTTCTTACAGTATCCCACATCAGCGCCGGCAAACCTCATTACGTTTGAAGGAATTACGGAGAATGGACAGACGCAATTATGATACGCCTGTTTCCTACAACAATCTTAAGAAAAACATGGGAAACTCCTACAGGACAGTGCCCTACAACTACAGTGTTTCTCAGTTGTTTCGTGTTTCTGCAAAAAATTTATATATCACAAAAGTTAAAAAGTTATTTTGGCAAGTTTTCCTTAAAGTATTGTTATAACGCCATTTTTTTGTTATATCAAATATGTTAAAAGTAATACAAAGAATTGTTTTAAACGTGCAGTTAAACACCAATTTATGAATTTATTATATATTGTTGTACAATGATGTAATTGCATAGATTGTTTGAAATACACAATATTTAAAACAAATGATATTACTGCTGTAAGACTTATCATAATTGTGTGCTATATTGTTATAGCTATTATTTGGTACTGATGCACGCTTTGTAAAAGGATAGCAACTGTTATTTAACAAAACCTACCCTGTGTCTATGTCAAAGCAAAGTTGGTCATCATGTGTGATGTTAGGCAAACATTCAAATCTTAAATTAGTCTTAAATGTTCTACTGTACAATTAGATAAAATGTATTTGATACAGAAAGTATACCTTTTATATGCTCAGAAACATAATAATCGAAAATATGAAAGCAAAGGTTTATCCATGTTCAGGGAACAAACTTGATCGACTATATATGCTCTGTTAAGGTTGTCTGGATAACACTCAATAAAATCACTATAAAATGAAGTTATATCTTAATATGGAATATGAAATTGTTAGGATGTGGGGTTTGCAAAACCTCGGTCTATAGAAAAATATTTCTGTCGAAGAACTATCAACACTGGATCTTAAATCAGAATCTAACAGAATCCAATAGATTTAACATGAATTCAATAGATTTAACATGAATCCAATCGATGAAATTCCGAAAATTCCTTTCACCGTTCGGTCTAAATCATTGACACTGTTTCAGAGTCGCTTAACGTAAATTACATCAAAGTACTCTATTTATTAGAGATGTGAATTTAAAAAAAAAATAAAAAAGTAAGCAGGTATTGCTTGATAATTTTATAAAAATGGCCCATCATTCTCTTGGCGCGTATATTTTAGGGGTTTCAAAACAATTTTGCCTCTACCCTTCCCCACATTATTGCAAACTTGCTGTATCTCTGATCTACATTTATATATACTGGATGGCAAGTGTGTATAAGATGATCTCCTGCGCGGAATAATTGGTTTTGTAAAGTAGTTGAAGCTGTTTCATATATATGTATATATGTTACAATACAACAAGGAAACGGTTTCCCAAATGTATTCCAGAAGTGGTTCATATAGTGTTTAGATTATCATATCATATTTTGTCATCTCTGTCCAGTTACAATAACACAAGAATGACAAACACTGTAGGTCTGTAAGGTGATGCTTTAATAAGACGAGTCTGTCTAGACAAAAGACGTCGTCCAGGGAACGACTGGATCAAGCTGTACCAAAGATGTCTGTGATTTATAGCTATAACCGATGCACGTACACATCTGTAAGATACATTATCTCCGAAAACTCATACATATTTCATATTCATTGTAAATGTTTCATGACATGTCACGTGCATGGACAATGAGTGCCTTTCGCACTCTAATCTATTTGATGTATTGAATAATGAATGAAAAATGAGTTTGCTTCATGTCACATTGTTAACGTATATTGTAAAGATGGTGTTTTTTTTTTATTTTGATTACAACAGTGCATGAATCTGTGATTCATTAAACGAACTTGAGGAAAAGAAATTAATATGTAATTATCAGGATGTAAGTGAGCTTACCGTATGAAAAGAATATCTCGTACAATTTTTATCATATATGTTATACAATATATAATATAAATGGAAATATTGTTGTTGTCAACTACATTCGTATTTGAAATTAGTAGATAATACAGGTATAAAAATATCAACAATTTTAAAAATTAATTGATTGTTATTGAATATGCACCTAAGAATATATTTTGCAATCACATATTCTTTATTACGTAAAATATCTTGTGAAATAAATTTCATATATACCAATAAATGTATGTAATATATGAACATGATATATATTGTCGGATTATGATGTGATATTGTCTTACTATGAACAGGTATACCCACGCTTTTAGTGGGTTGATATTTTCCTATCATGCCCTAAGGGTCATTCGCCTATTTGCTCACTGATAAGACGTCATTGTGACTAGTCATTCAAAAACGTCACATCAATGATGCCAAGAGCCAGGCATTTTAGATATCAGCAATTACACAGTTTTGGAAGACCAAATGCTATAACAATAATCACCCCTTATAGTTGAAATAGGCTTATCTCAACGCTCGGAGAAAAATATTAAGTTGGCAATCACTCGACAAGATTCTATAAATGAATATTATGACGAATATCTTAATTACTACTTCAACACCTTATAGACGCTGTCATTTTATAAGAGTTCAATTTTCTTGCAAGAAACCTAAATGTATATTTTTTCATCGAATGTCGTTTTCAAATCTACTACATTAATTTTACACGCTTGACATCGTTTCCTTTTGGCATGGACTTTTTTGTGCACACCTCTAAAAAGAAGACTTTTTCCAAACTAAAATTCAGATACACGATGATACGTTTATGTAATTACGAAAACTGATAAATCTTCCATAACCGAAAATGATGACTGAACCACTAAAATGTACTACCTTGAACGAGTTTCAAAACAGTAAATATGATTTTTAAAAGGAATATAGTCGAAAATATAGTTGAAACAATTGCATATTTAATATGCAAAATTCCTGTTTATACTTACAATCAATTGAGAACGTTTACCATCAATGTACGTTTAAATAACATTTACGTTTGGTTAAAATTTCGTGATTACAAAAATGTGCATCATTATTGGCACTTTATTTCATGGAAACTCTTGCTCACGAAATGCACTAGGTTTATGATCCATGTCAATATTTTTTAATTTTTTGTCAATTCGTCGATTACGAGTAATCACGAACTCAACGAAAATAAAAACAACACGAAAAATAATGATGTTACAGTACGATAAACCATGGTAAATAACTATTAAAGAAAACAAGAATGCATCGTCCAGTGTTCAATTTTTTAATAACTTAATTATTAGCTATCATAGAATTTTCTTAAAACATAATGGAATACGCGATATACATTTCAAAATTGACATGCTTTTAACAGGTGTTTAACATGATAAAGCGGTGACATAAAAAAGTGAAAACATTAATCGTTCCTCTCAGCAATATCAGACTTAAGACCATTGCCGGATGAGGATAGGATATTTCCTTCCGATGACATGATTATGACGTGTTGACAGAGCAAAAGCCATGAAATACAGTGTAGCATTTTACAGAGCAACACATTAGACGTGAACCAAAGATGAAATCCTTGCAGGTGCCATCACTTAACACTTAAAATCAATTAACATGTTGAATTAACACCTACCAAATGAACTCGCAATGAAATCCAACACCACATCTGAAATTGATTTACAGTGTGTCGGATTTCATGTGTCAGTCAAGTGTGTTTTTAATCTTAATCTTGACAAAAGTGAATGATGAATGATGATATGCCATAACAAAATTAATACTTTCTACTGAATTAAGTTGGCAACAGATCAGTAACCAGTCATAATACTTAACTGTATTTGGTATAGTAACCTTTTCCTTAATAAGACGATATATTCAGATGTATATTGATTTGGTTAGAGGGACTTAAACTGCATTACCAGCGGCGAGAGGTAATAACTTTAAACCTTGTCTAGACACCCTTATATCAATGTTTCTTTTACGCGAACATTTCACCGTATTTCTGATTTTCGTAGATTTCTAGAAGAATATAGCAACAAGGGCATATGTATAGAAATATATATACAGACTTGTGTACAAGATAAGATGGACAAAACA